GCTTCCAGTCCTCCAGCGTCCAGTCGGCATGCGACCGCGCGAAGTCGAGACGATCTCGGATGTTTTTCGGTGAGAGCCTGGGTTTCTTGGGCTGATGCACGGCGATCAGCCCCGCGGATCGTAATGAGTTCCGGACCGTCTTCGAGTCTACGGCGAGACCGTGCTTCTCCAACAACATATTTGCCGCTTCTACAGAGCTTTTCGCCTCGCCGCTTGTAATCGCGCGTACTATTCCGCGCTGGAGACGGGTAGTGATTAAGCGGGGGCGGCCGGCCGAAGGCATCGTAGGTCGCACCTCCTCGAGACTAGTCTCGGCAGCCACTTTCAAACTGTAATCGTGCACAGTGCTCTTGCCTATTCCAAGAACTTTGCCTATTTTCCTAGTCGAATGGCCCGCACGCAACATGCTTCTGATTCGCGCGCGTTTCCGCTCAGTTAACGGCTTCATGGCGATGCCGTCGTAGGCTCGCTTCCGGACTAACTCTTAAGCCAGCAACTATTGCGCGTTACGATGTACACACTGAGTGACCGGGGAAAATACATCTACTCTTCCGCTCGGTTGGAAATGTCCGCATCGACTGTCGAGGAGTAAATTTCAACCCCACTTTCAGGTTGTGACACAATTGCGCCAAGCAAGAAACGGTTGAAGCAGAACTCGGAAAACCTTGTAACGGAATGGAAAAAACCGGGTGTTACTATTTTCGAAACATGTGTGGCATAGCGTGCTGTTTCAAAGTGTTAAACATCCGGGCAATTTAATCCGCCACTGTATCGTCGTCTCGACGACCTCTTCCATCTCCTGTTCAGCCCTGCGTCGGACCTTCCTGACTGGCACAGCCTGGTACGTCGCCGTGTGCCGGTGTTTGAGATGGATATGGATCAGATTCGCTCTGCTTTGTATGTCATGTATGCTGAAAACTCTAGTGTGATTGGACCTTATAACCCTGTTTTGCCTAGTGTATGTGTGTCCACTGTGCATAATCTAGGCTCCCTTGCTACGTCAGGCGTAGGATCTCCTGATTTGTTTAGCCTAGGCTCCACGCTAGTGCCCCCACCGGCTGACGCTACCGCCGCGCTCTCCTTCATACTGAACTCTGGTGCGTCTGCATGTTTCTTTTGCAGCCACACTATGCTCTCGCCGTTTGCCGCCCCTGCCACTGTAGCACTTGCTGAACCCTCCTCAGGTCCAGTAGTTGTATGTAGCTCCACCACCCTTCCTTGTCCGGCGGTTCGCTCGGGCTCCCTTAAAGGCTTGCACATCCCCTCGTTCTCCAACAACCTAGTTGGTGTCGGCTGTCTTCAAGTCCTCGGCGTCACCACTACATTCCCTAGACACGAGTGGTACTCAGTCTGTACCGAGGCCGCCATTGGTGCCCCCCTCACCACGTTCCGACCAAGTGTGGGGCATGTTCACGCTCGACACCGCGTCCTCCCCGGTGGGGGCGTCCCCCCAGGTGGCCGTGCCTACTCAGGTCGCTGCGGCTTGCTCGTGTCGGTCGCTCACTCACCCGTCGCTTCTGTGGCACCACCGCCTGGGTCACCCCCCACTCCCGCGTCTATGTGACATGTCCCAGCACGGTCTTGTCTTAGGCCTCCCTGCGTCGCTCCCTGCCCTACCTCCTTCGCCTGCACCTCCGTGCACGCCTCGTGTCGAGGGCCGGCTATGCCGTGCCCCTCATTCCTCCTTGTTCCCCCCCACCACTGCGCCACTCCAGACCCTGCACTTGGACCTTTGGGGTCCAGCCCCTGTCCTCGGGCCGCGTCGCGAGCGCTACTTTCTAGTACTTGTCGATGACTTCACGCACTACACCATGGTGTTTCACCTGGAGCGAAAGGCCGACGTGCCTAACATTCTTATCCCGTGGGTCGTAGCTGCACGAGTACACCACGGCCTGTCGGTGCTTCGTCTCCACTCCGACCGTGGCGGTGAGTTCGCCTCTGGTCAGCTTGGCCAATCCTTGCGTGCAGAGGGCATCACCCAGTTGTACACCGTATCAGACTCCCCGCAACAGAATGGGGTCGCTGAGCAACGCATCGGTTTGGTCATGGAGGTGGCTCGTATCTCCATGATCCATGCCGGTGCACCCCACTTTCTGTGGCCGTTCGCTGTGCCGCTCACCAGCTTAACTTGTGGCCACACTCCCAGCGGCCGCAGGCGACGCGTTTGCGTTCCTCGTCTGGGGCTGCCTCGCTCATCTTTGTGCCTCTGGCACGGACAAGCTCATTGCCCGCACCGTCCCTTATGTCTTCCTTGGCTTCCCCTTATGACTGGCACTTTTACCACCGGCCGTCTCACCACTTCTTTCACTCGCGTGACGTCACATTTGACGAGTTTATCTCTTTCTAGTCCCTCTTTCCCCACCAAGTTCTCCCAGTTACCCTACCCTTGTTCCTTGTCCCCACTCCCCCGGTAGCTCTCGCTCCCCGTCCTGGCCCGTCTGGTATGTCTCACGTTACTCCCCTTCCCTCGGTTGCCTCGGCGGAAGATTCTGCTGACTCTGGGGGTGCTCGTCCTGGAGTTGCTGTCGTGGTGGGTCCTGGAGGTGGCCGTGTTGCAGTTGGAGGTTCTGGTCTGGGCGCGGAGCAGCAGCCGTAGTCACTGCCAGTGTCCGCCCTTCGCCTCCTCGGTCTTCCCTCCTACGACCGCCCGCCCGCGCCTCCCCCAGTGCTGCCTCCGCTGCCTGTCTACGGTCCTGTATTTCCTCCGTCGGACTCGTCCTCGGCTCGTTTTCCCTCTCGTTCTCCTCCTCTGTCTCCTTCTGTGTCTCCTGGCCCGACGCCTCCGTCCCACTTCTGGTCTCACCGTTCCTCTCGTGCTCGTCCTGTCTCCCCGGTTCAGCGTTCCCACCCTATGTTGCTCCGTTCTCAAGCGTCTCGTGCTCCTCTTCTCCCGTCGCCTCCTCAGTCATCGCTTGTTATCTCTCCGCCTCCTCTCCCTGACTTTCTTCGTGCGGCTAGTCCTCTTGTTCCTCGGGTCCTCGCCTCTCTTGTTACTGACCCGTCCGTTCCTGTCTCGAGTCTTGACGCTCTTGTCGCCGCCGTTACTGACTTTGCCGCTACCCGCCACCTTGACTACGCCACTGCTCTGGTATCTGACCCTGCCCGTCCTCCGCCGTCGGGGGTGCACCTGCCCTTGTAGTTGATGGCCGTTGGCTCTTCAAAGTGAAGCGCCCTCCTGGAGAGCCGCCGGTGCTCAAGGCGCGCTACGTTGCTAGAGGCTTCAGTCAGCGCGAGAGTGTTGTCACTTTTGATACCTTTGCCCCGACCCCAAAGATGACCACTCTTCGGGCACTGCTTCACGTAGCAGCATAGGGAGACTTCGAGTTGCACTCCCTCGTCTTCTCCACAGCGTTTCTCCAGGGCAGTCTGCACAAGCAGATCTACCAACGCCGACCGCCAGGCTTCTCTGGCTCTTTCCCTTCAAGGACCGAGTGGCTCATCCGGCGCCCGGTTTTCGGCTTGCGTCAGGCACCCTGTGGGTGGCACAACACGATTCGTGCTATGTTAGCAGACTTGTACTGTACTTCTTCCCGTCTTCTGCTGACCCTTCCCTCTTCGTTCGCTCAGGCCAGACTACGTTCTACATCCTAGTCTACGTAGACGACTTGGTCTTTGCTACTGCAGACAGAGACGCACTGGCCTCAGTGAAGGCCGAGCTGCTGAAGTGACACACCCACACTGACCTAGGAGAGCTACGCCGCAACCTTGGCCTGCAGATCTCCAGGGACAGAGCAGCGTGCACCATCACTCTCACCCAGTCACACTTGGTGCGCCAGGTCCTTCAGAGGTTCGGCCTTCAGTTCTCCTCCGCACAGCCTACACCTCTGCCAGTAGATTACAGGCTCTCGGCTCCGGTCCCCGAGGAGCCGGTTGAGCCCAGTGGTCCGTACGCAGAGCTTGAGGGCTGCCTCATGTACCTGATGACTTGCACTCGTCTGGTTCTCGCATACCCTCTTATTATCCTAGCTCGCTTTGTGACGTCAGGCAGACACCGACCTCAGCACTGGCTGGCCGCTAAGAGGGTTTTGCGTTATCTAGCAAGTACATCGGGCACGGGGCTAGTGCCGGGAGGATGCAGGTCAGTGGTCCTTACAGGGCACACAGACGCCTCATGGGCGGACGACGCTGAGACGCTTAGGTCCTCCCAGGGCTACTGCTTTAGCCTTGGTGCAGGCACCATCTCGTGAAGGTCCACCCGCTCTTCGTCTGTTGCTAAGTCCAACTGCGAGGCTGAGATTTACGCTGGTGCCATGGCTGACCTTCTTGCTCACAGACTTAGGTGAGCGGCCTAGCTCTGCCCCGGTCCTGTACGCTGACAACAAGGCCATGATCCTCCTGCGTCAGGAGCCTCGACTAGAGGGTAGAGCGAAGCACATCCAGCTGCGGTACTTCCTCATGCGCGAGCTACAGCAGCGCCGCTAGGCCCGCATAGTACAGTTGACCTCCAGTGATAACACAGCTGATATCTTTACTAAGGCGCTTGCGCCTAAAGATCATCAGCGGCACTGTGTACAGCTTGGTCTCGTTCCAGTAGCTCCTCACTTGCTAGGACCCTGATTGTGTACTACTCCTTATATTATCTTGACTGGCCGACTCTTGTTCCAGTGGCTGGACTAGTAGTGCCGCCCTGGTTTACTCTTGTTCAGCTTGTACTGTTGCTGACTGGTCTTCAGACCCTTTCCTCAGATGTTGGACTCGTAGTGCCACCCTGAGCTGCGTGTCCCTTGCCTGGCACTGCCCCTCATCTAGCCTAGGGGTGTGTCAAACATATGTGTATATGTTACTATAGGCTAGATAGGTTGGTACTCTTCTTAGAGAGTACAACCCCTTAGCACAAAACCACCATGTATCTCTCATTCTAGTCAATTCACTACTCTGGACCGTTGGACTGGTAGTGCCGCCTTGAGCGGCACTGCCTCTTGTCTAGCCTATAGGGTGTGTCAACATATACATACTTGCATATGTAGCAATTCTAGGCTAGAAGGATTCGTGCTCTTAGAGAGTACAACACCCAACCACATATTCCCCTGTATCCGTCATTTCTACTGTGAGATACTGAACTCTGCACATCAGAAACTGTTAAGAGGAGAAAGGGCGCTAAATTTCAGTGGCCCAAATGTGGATAGGATATGTACTCACAAAACATGTGTATTAATTGAATGCACCCCCTACATAAACAAGTCGTGTTTTTCATGTGCTTATCCTTTGAGCAGTTGAGAGACTCATTGCAGGCCCAAACCGACGAGTGGGCACTATTTCAAAAGATCCTGCAAAAAAAATGGCAATGAAAACGAACATGGGATATATGAGATTGTACCGTAGAAGTTAGAAGCTTTTATTCGATCAAGGAAAACGAAATATAGATAACGGATTTGGCACTCACTAGGGTGGGTGCGCATGCGTCACCGGCGAAAGACACACCACCACCTCCTGTACCCATATCTCCGAACCCTCCTCCCATCCCCGTGCCAAGCGGGGAGCGAGTGCCATGGGACGGAGTGGAAGCATGCACAGAAGTGAGGGCGGAGGGAGGGAAGGCGGAGAGGGAGAGATGGAGGCGGGAGGAATGTTCTGAGAAGCCGAGGGAGGTGGTGGGGGGGATGGAGGAAGGTGGAGGGATGGAGGAAGGTGGAGGGATGGAGGAAAGTGGAGGGATGGAGGAAAGTGGAGGGATGGAGGAAAGTGGAGGGATGGAGGAAGGTGGAGGGATGGAGGACAGTGGAGGGATGGAGGAAAGTGGAGGGATGGAGGAAAGTGGAGGGATGGAGGACAGTGGAGGGATGGTGTGAGGAACAGAGGAGGATGAATGGGGGATGGAGGACGGATGTCGTGTGGATGGGGGCAAGGAGGAATGAGTAACGGACACCTGGCGTGCAGCTGCTGCTCCTGCTGCTGCTCCTGCTGCTGGTGGTGGTGGTGGTGGTGCTGCTGTTACGCTTTCATGTTGTCCGAAAGAATCACGCCTCCCCATGGCATGGTGGCCCTCGAATGAGGCGCAGCCCTCCATCGGAGCAAACAAGTCATTCAGCTCGTCCCCCGGCTCAGGCATTTGGGGCTCAGGCATATGGGGTGCATGCATATGGGGCGCATGCATGTGGGGCGCATGCATGTGGGGCGCATGCATGTGGGGCGCATGCATATGGGGCGCATGCATGTGGGGCGCATGCATATGGGGCCGTGCATGCATGCATGGGTCCGGCATGTGGGGCGCATGCATGTGGGGGTCAGGCATGTGGGAACTCATGTGATGCGGCATGCGTGGACCCATGTGCGCACCCATGGGATGGGGCATGCGTGCATGCATGGGCTCAGGCATGCTCGGCATGTACTCCGGCGGCATGGTATTATTGAAGGTGCCGCCGCCCATGGCTGTATTAATGGTAGCCCTGTGACTCATGTCACTCGCCATGCCACCCATGCCTGCACTGCCTCCCATCCCTCCTCCTCCTCTTCCTCCTTCCATACTTCCTCCTCCTCTTCCACATTCCATCCCTCCTCCTCTTCCTCCTTCCACCCCTCCTCCTCCTCCTCCTCCTATCCCTCCTCCTCCCATCCCTCCTCCTTCCATCCCTCCGCCTCCTACTCCTCCTCCCATCCCTCCCCCTCCTCCCATCCCTCCACCTCCTCCTCCTCCTTTCAGACCTCCCCCTCCTCTCATCCCTCCTCCATCTCCCACGTCTCCCGCCATCATCATCATCATCATCATTGATTCACCATCCTCTGACCCCATCACCCCCCACTCTCCCGTACCTCCCCCCCTACCTCCCCCCATATCTCCCTCCATGCCTCCCCACATTCCTCCCCCCAGTCCTTCTCCCATACCTCCTCCCATACCTCCTCCCAACCCTCCTCCCAACCCTCCTCCTGTATCCCCTCCTGTGCTCATCATACCTCGTCCCATTCCTCTTCCCCAGCCTCTTACCATACCTCTCCCCATGCCTCCTCCCATGCCTCCTCCCATGCCTCCTCCCATGCCTCCTCCCATGCCTCCTCCCATGCCTCCTCCCATGCCTCCTCCCATGCCTTCTCCCATGCCTTCCCCCAAACCTCTAACCATACCTCTTTCCACCCCTCGTCCCATACCTCCTATACTGTGGCTATCCTGCTGCACCATACCTGTTCCCGTATTCATTTCCATGCCTGTTCCCATGCCTGTTTCCATGCCTGTTTCCATGCCTGTTTCCATACCCCAATGTGAAGCCCCCGTCATGTCTCCTTCCATCCTACCTCCTGTCACCTCTCCTCCTCTTCCTCCTCGTCTTTCTTCCCCTCCCATTCCCCCTCCCATTCCCCCTCCCATTCCCCCTCCCATTCCCCCTCCCATTCCCCCTCCCATTCCCCCTCCTGCCCCTCCTCCTCCTCCTGCTCCCCCTCCTGCCCCTCCTGCTCCTGCTCCTCCCATCATACCTGCATCCATATCTCCAGCCCAGATGACATCTCCGCCTGCTGCTCCTCCCCCTATGTCCCCTTCCCCATGCCTCCCCCCATGCCTCCCCCCATGCCCCCTCCTCTCACATCCCATGCCCCCATGCCATCTCCCCCAAAGCTCCCCATACCATGCGCCCCTAGTATCCTACTCATTAGCGCATCTTCAACTCCCCCCATTCCCCCCATTCCCCTCATCCTCCCCCGCACCACCCCCACCTCATGACCCCCCCTGCCAGGCCTTCCCCCAGCCCTCTTCCTCCCCCCTCCCTTCCCCCTGCAACCCTCATCCCCCCTCCGCCTCCCCTCCCATACCCTCTTCCCCCCCTCAGCAGCAGAATTAACAGCACCAGCAACACCGGCAGCAGCATTAGCAGCCGCACCACCACCACCACCCGCACCAGCACCAGCACCACCAGCACCGACACCAGCACCAGAACCAGAACCAGCACCAGCACCAGCACCAGCACCGGCACCAGCACCGGCACCAGCACCAGCACCAGCAGCACTAGAAACACCAGCAGCACTAGCAGCAGCAGCACCGCCCATCTTCATAACCCTCAATGCCCCTTGAATAGTGGCCCGACCCATCATCATAGCAGCAAAACTACTCCTGACTGCTCCTCCCCTTCCCCTCCCTCTTTCCCCCCCTCCTCCCCCTCCTCCCCCTCCTCCCCCTCCTCCCCCTCCTCCCCCTCCTCCCCCTCCTGCAGCTCCTGCTGCTCCTGCCGTTCCTCCCTCTCCTCCTCCCTCTCCTCCTCCCTCTCCTCCTCCACCTCCTCCTCCTCCACCGCTCCCACCCACTCCTGACCCTCCTGCTCCTCCTTCCTGGTTGAAAACTTGGTCCGAGGATTGGTGGGTGGCTTGGTAATAGTTGGCTTGATGATTAGCTTGGTAATTGGCTTGGTGATTGGCTTGGTAATCGGCTTGGTAACTGGCTTGGTTTGGAACGACACTTCCATACGCAAGCAGGCTGGAAATCGAGCGTGTGTTTCCCGATTCTCCCATGCCCCCATGCCGCCCGCGTTCCCCATGCCGCCCGCATTCCCCATGCCGCCCGCATTCCCCATGCCGCCCGCATTCCCCATGCTGCCCACGTTCCCCATGCCGCCCGCGTTCCCCGTGCCGCCCGCATTCCCCATGTGGTCAGTAGAAGGCACGTCAGTGAGAGCAACCGTGCTGGTGGAGTTGACGTGGGTAGTGGATGGGAGGTTCGCCTGGGGGAGGTTCTGGTGGTTGGGGGTGGCTTGAGGCCCTTTGCATGCCGGCCTGTGGCGGTCGAGCTCGTGCCTGGAAGGGGGAAGGGAGGGGGAGAGGGGTGGGGGTTCGGGCGGAAGCAAGGCGGGGGGAGGAGGGGGGGGATATTAGGGTAGTATATAGGCTGGGGAGGAGTGCTGGTGCTAGGGAGAGCCAGAAGGTCCTTTGCATGCCGCCGGTGCCGGTCAAGCTCGTGCCTGGAAGGGGGAAGGAAGGGGGAGAGGGGTGGGGGTTCGGGCGGAAGGGAGGCGGGGGGAGGGGGGGGGGGGGGGGGGGGGATATTAGGGTAGTTTATAGGCTGGGGGTTGCTGGTGGTAGGGAGAGCCAGAAGCTCCTTTGCGCCAGCCTGTGGCGGTCTAGTTCGTGCCCGGAAGGGGGGAGGGAGGGCGAGAGGGCTGAAGGGGATAGGTGGGGTTAGCAGAGGGTCCTTTGCATGCCGGCCTGTGGCGGTTGAGCTCGTGCCTGGAAGCGAGAGAGGGGTGGGGATTTGGGGTGGCGGTATGGGGGAGGGAGGAGGGGGGTGTGCATCATATCTCCAAGGCAAGACCTCACCTGTGGGGGAATCGAGTGCTGCTCGAGTCGCAGGGGTGCTGGAAGTCCTCCCTTCGATCATGTGCCAGGCTGTACTTCTCATGCTTGTTCATCTTGCCCCCGCATGACAAAGTACAGCACCAAGGCAAGCCTAAACGGTAAGTAATTTTGCCTGTCGGGGAAGCGGGTCCCACATGAGTCGCACGGGTGCTTGAGGTCCTCCCTGCGTTTATGCGCCAGGCTGTAATCTTGTGGTTGCTCATCTCTCTCGTGCTAAGACAAGCTTGGGACAACAGCTCACCTGCGGGGGAAGCGAGTGCCACACAAGTCATACGGGTGCTTGAAGTCCTCCCTGCGGTTATGCGCCAGGCTGTACTTCTTGTGGTTGCTCATCTTCCCAGCGTCGTGCATCTTTGAGACCCTTGAGCGAAACAGAGCTTCTGAGACAAGCCTAGGTGGTAATCGGACCCACCTGCGGGGAAAGCGGGTCCCACACGAGTCGCACGGGTGCTTAAAGTCCTCCCTGCGGTTATGTGCCAGGCTGTACTTCTTGTGGTTGCTCATCTTCCCAGCGTCGTGCGTCTTGAAGTCGCAGGATGACCCGTCGACGCGCACCAGGTTGCACTCGTACAGGCGGGCCGTCTTGCTGTGGACCTGCAAGCAGGGAGAGGCAGGAGAAACGCAGGGAGGAGAGGCAAAGGACTTGAAATCGCAGGACGACCCATCGACGCGCACCAGATTGCACTCGTACAGACGGGCCGTCCTGCTGATCTTGCGGCTTGCCCGAGCAACAAGATGTACAAGACACTCTTACGTCTTCTTGCCCCCAGGTGGCAGGCGCTAGGCACAGGAACCGCCCCTGTCATCCCTTCCATCCATCCCATACCCTTCCACGACGGCTCAAACCTTTCTCCCCTTGGCAAAGTGCTTCTTCAGGTTGAATCTTCTCACACGGCACGTGCAACTTCTAATGAATCTTCTCACACTGTGCGTGCATCTTCTAGTGCATGTTCTCACACTGTGTGTGCATCTTCTAATGCATCTGCTGCCGTCCATTGGTGTTTAAGACAGTCATATTCCCGATCACCTTGGCAAAGTGCTTGTTTATGTTGTCTCTATTCCCGTTTGTCTTCTCACACCCAGGCGCCAGCCACGACAACTGCCCTACAGGCCTTTCCAACCCTTCCACTGCCATGGTGATTTTTTAGTCGACTCAACAATCACCCACGACAATTGCCCTGCAGGCCTTTCCAAGTTCCAACCCGGGTGATTTTTGAGTCGACTCAGCAATCACCCACGACAACTGCCCTGCAGGCCTTTCCAACCCTTCCACTCCCATGGTGATTTTTGAGTCGACTCAACACAGTATCGGCTGCTAGGGCTAGGCACCCTAGTATCGGCTAGGCACCCTAGTATCGACTAGGCACCCTAGTATCGGCTAGGCACCCTAGTATCGGCTAGGCACCCTAGTATCGGCTAGGCACCCTAGTATCGGCTAGGCACCCTAGTATCGGCTAGGCACCCTAGAATCGGCTAGTTATCCTAGTATCGGCTAGTTATCCTAGTATCGGCTAGTTATCCTAGTATCGGCTAGTTATCCTAGTATCGGCTAGTTATCCTAGTATTGGCTAGTTATCCTAGTATCGCCACACAAACACAGACCAGACCAGAACCTCCCCTCACCTTGGCAAAGTGCTTGTTCTTGTGGTCTGTGTTCATGTACATCTTCTCACACCCAGGCGCCAGGCCCTTAGGCGAACAAGCCTTTGAGGCGCCTCAACAAATATGCCCAGGCCAGGCAGGCACTACCCTCTCACCTTGGCAAAGCGCGTGTTCATGTTCCTCGTGAACGTCTTCTCACACCCAGGCGCCAGACACAGGAACTGCGGGCCCTTCCACCCCTTCCATTCCATACTCTCTAAAGAGGCTTCAAACCTCCACCCACCTTGGCCAAGTGCTTGCTCATGCTGTCTCTGTTCTTGTCCTCCAAATCACACCCAGGCGCCAGATCCTTGAGCGGACTTCTATCCATGCACGTTGAAGCACATGTCAGAAGCATACCTTCGTGTTGTCCATCCCGAAGTGCTTGCTCATCTTGTCCATCCCTGTTCTTGTGCGTCTCCTCACACCCACCCACGTGTTGCTGATACTGGTAACTGGCGCACTACCTTTGAGGCGCGTCAGCAATTTTGCCTGGGACGGGCGGGCAGTACCCTCTCACCTTGGCAAAGTGCTTGTTCATGTTGTCTCTGTTCTTGTACGTCTTCTCACACCCGGGCGCCAGGCACGGGAACCGCCCCTCTCCCCCCTCCCCAGCAGCAGCACCACTTGCATCCACAGCAGCAGCAGCAGCAGCAGCCACAGCAGCACACGCCACCACCATCCCTCCACCACCGCTTTCCGGAACTGTCTGGTGCACACCAGCACCACCACCACCAGCACCATTAGCACCCACGGCAGCAGCAGCAGCACCACCACCACCACCACCATTAGCACCCACGGCAGCAGCAGCAGCAGCATCACCACCACCACTTGTCACAATCACGCCATCAACTCCACCCACCGTCTCCCCAACCCCACTTTCGGGAATCGCCCCACCACCCGTGCCACTAGCAGGCGCTGCTGACCTGTCACCACCTGTAGTAACTAGGGCCCTGCGATGACTTCCCCCCATCGCTTCCCCTTGAGACGCCCCCACCACGTCACCCCTGGTCGCCACCGCCAATCTCTCGCCCTCCCCAGTGGGAAGCACCGTCAGCACATCTGCAGGCGCTCTCATGATACTTGCAGCTGCGGCTGCCATGAGCCCACCACCACCACCACCACCACCACCAGCAGACGCTGCTGCTGCTGCCACGGCATCAGGGGGTGCTGCTGCCACGACTAACACCCCTTCTGCATCCCCTCCCCCCTCCATCTCTCCTCTTTCTCCCTCCCTCACTACCTCATCCCTACCCGCCCCTGTCTGCCTTTCCCCACCACTATCCCCCCCTCCTGCTCCCCTCTCTCCTGTCGCCACTCTAGTACCTCCACCCCCTCGCCTTGCAGCACCGCTCTGCACCACAGCAGCAGACTCAACCTGCTTTCTACTTTCTGAGCGGCTAGGCCAACCGTCTCCATTCGTCCCAACCATTTCTGCTCTTGCTGCCACTGCCGCCACCGCAACCGCCGCCGCCGCAGCCGCTGCCGCTGCTGCTCCTCCTGCTCCTCCTCCTGCCCCTCCTCCTGCTCCTCCTCCTGCCCCTCCTCCTTCTCCCCCTGTTCCTTCACCATCTGCTGCCGCTCCCCTCCATGCAGGGGTTGCGAGACCGTTTCCAATACCACTATCAACCTCCCGCTCCCCATCCCCCCTCCTCTCCCCATCCCCCCTCCTCTCCCCATCCCCCTCCTCTCCCCATCCCCCCTCCTCTCCCCATCCCCCCTCCTCTCCCCATCCCCCCTCCTCTCCCCATCTCCCCTCCTCTCCCCATCTCCCCTCCTCTCCCCATCTCCCCTCCTCTCCCCATCTCCCCCCTCCTCCCCATCACCACCTCTTCGCCCTCCACCACTCTCACCTCCACCCACTTCCCCTCCCCTCCCCCACTCCCTCCCCCACTCCCTCCCCCACTCCCTCCCTCCTTCCCTCCGCATCTCCCTCCCCACCTCCCTCTCCCCTTCCCTCCTCCCCTCCCTTCCCCCCCCGCCTCTCAAGTGCTTCCTCATAGGCACAGCGGATACAGTCACAGTCACCTCGCCCATCCGAGACCCACTACCCAGGGAGCCCACACCCACCAACTCCCCTCGCTCCTCCTCCTCCTCTCTCTCCCGCTTCACCCCTATCAGCTTGATCCTCGCCTTGTGGGAAACATGCGGCAGGAAAGCATTGTTAGGGGAGGCATCGGAGGCATGCTGTGCTAAAGCACGCTCGTGGGAAGGCTGCTGAGTGTAGGTGTTCGCCGCAGGGGGACCCAGGACATGGGGAGACGCATTGGCATCAGACGATTGGCAACCGAAAGCAGCATTCCCAGAGGGGATATGCTCTTCCCTGCCTCGGGGGACAACCCCTGCCTGTCGATCCTCGGGCCTTCTTTGGTTGGCAGGTGATGCTGCAGCAGCAGCAGCATCAGCATAAGTAAACGCACCACCAACACCAGCAGCAGCAGCCGCAGCACCAGCACCAGCACCAGCACCAGCACCAGCACCAGCACCAGCACCAGCACCAGCACCCGCAGCACTAGATCCAGAACCAGCACCAACAGCACCGGAAGCAGCAGCAGCAGCAGCAGCAGTAGAACCAGCAGCAGCACTCCCAGCACTAGAACCAGCACCAGCAGCAGCGCCAGCAGCAGCAGCAGCACCAACCCCAGCGGCATCAGCTGTAGCACCACCAGTGGCCTCACAACCCCCTTCCAAAGCACCCACCCGCCCTTGCAGTTGGGTTAGTTGAGCGGCCGGCAGCGGTGTTAGCTCTTCAGCACTTGAATCCGGGAGAGCCCGGGCAGCAGATGCAGCAGGGGTTGCAGGAGCAGAGCACGTCTCAGAAGCCCCAGCAAAACCACCTGAAAAACCACCTGGGAAACCGCCTGGGAAACCGTCCGATAATCCGCCAGCCCTGTATTCTGCACGAGCGGCTGTAGCAGCAGAGCCAAGACGGGGACCAGCAGCGGCTGTAGCATGAACCCTAGTGAAGATTGTACCGGGGATAGGTCGAGTGGAGGGCGGTGGGAGTGAGGAGGAGCGGTGGCGGAGGGTTGATGGTGGCATGTGTGAAGTATCCATGGGCTGACATGCATCCATGGCTTCACATGCATCAGCAGCATCCCCACTGGCATATACATCAGCATCACCGCCAGTACCACCACCATCACCACCAACATTGCCATTTCTCTCTTCAAGAGGCACCGGCCTATCGTCAAACCTATTACCAGACCTGGTGCCGGACCTACCACCGGGCCTATTACCGAACCTAGCAGCAGGTGAAAGCCCACCTTCCCCTTGGCCCCCCTGATTGTCATCACCGGAGCTTCCATAGGCGTTCCGAGCCTGGCCACTCCCCCGCTCAGTATGGGCGCTAGCGTCACCGGCTCGGGGGCTATTATCCCGGGTGTTGACGCGGGAAGAATTGTTTGGATCAGGGTTGCTGGAACCGGGATGGGGAGAGTTGCTGGCGCGGTGGTTGCCATCCCTAGCTGCTGCTGATGCTGCTGCGTTCTCCTGGCCCTGCAGCCATGGGGGAATGGAGAAGCGTGAGTGGGCGGGACAGGGCAAGAGTGGGAAAAAAAGGGGAGGGGGGGGGGGGGGGAAGAGGACATTTAACATGGGGATGGTTGGTGGGAGTTGGAGCCGCCGTGGTTGCCATCCATCCCTAGCTGCTGCTGCTGCGTTCTGCTGCCCCTGCAGCCACCGGGGAATGAAGGACCTGACGAATGGAACCGGGAAGAGAATAATTTTTTGGGTCGGGATTGCTGGAACCGGGGTGGTGGGAGTTGGAACCGCTGGGATTGGGAGAGTTGGCAGCGGCGTGATTGGCAGCCCTAGCTGCTGCTGCTGCGTTCTCCTGACCCTGCATGCAGCCACGGGGGAATGGAGAACCGTGAGAAGAAGGGACATGGAATGGGAGGGGGGGGAGGAAGGGGACATGTAACATTGGGAAGGTGAGAGTTGGCGGCGGCGTGGTTGCCGTCCCTGGCTGCTGCTGCGTTCTCCTGACCCTGCAGCCACGGGGGAATGGAGAAGCGTGCGTGGAAAGCAGCCACGGGGAAATGGAGAAGCGTGAGTGGAAAGGAGGAGGACGGGCGGGACGGGAGGGGGATATTCAGAAACGGGATTGGGAGTGTTGGTGCGTGATTGCCAGCCCTAGCAGCAGCCCACATGTATGCTTTCCACATGCACACACAAGAGCACTCACACAAGCACACACAAACATGCACACACACACATGCACACACATGCACACACACAAGCACACACACAAGCACACACACATGCACACACACAAGCACACACACAAGCACACACACATGCACACACAAAAGCACACACACATGCACACACAAAAGCACACACACAAGCACACACACAAGCAAACACACAAGCACACACACACATGCACACACACAAGCACACACACAAGCACACACACACGCACACACACATGCTCACACACAAGCACACACACAAGCACACACACATGCACACACACAAGCACACACACAAGCACACACACACATGCACACACACAAGCACACACACAAGCACACACACACGCACACACACATGCTCACACACTAGCACACACACACATGCACACACAAGTGCACTCACACAAGCACACACACACATGCACACACAAGAGCACTCACACAAGCACACACAAGAGCACTCACACAAGCACACACACACATGCACACACATGCACACACACAAGCACACACACAAGCACACAAACATGCACACACACTTGCACACACACAAGCACACGCACAAGAGCACACACACACATGCACACACAACACAAGTACACACAAGAGCACTCACACAAGCACACACACACATGCACACACAAGAGCACTCACACAAGCACACACACACATGCACACACAAGAGCACTCACACGAGCACACACACACATGCACACACAAGAGCACTCACACAAGCACACACACACATGCACACACACACATGCACACACAAGAGCACTCACACAAGCACACACACACAAGCACGCACACATGCACGCACACAAGCACGCACACAAGCACACACACAAGCACACAAACAAGCACACGCACACATGCACACACACAAGCACACACAAAAGCACACACACAAGCACACACACAAGCACACACACAAGCACACACACACATGCACACACACACATGCACACACAAGCACGCACACAAGCACGCACACAAGCACACACACACAAGCACACACACACATGCACACACACAAGAGCACACACACACAAGCACACACACAAGCACACACAAGAACACGCATACTACTCACCAGTCGAACCAGGTTGGTGCCCGCTTCCTTCAGCACCGCTTCGATCCGTCTCAGAACCTGCAAGGAGCACGGAAAACAACGTTACTGCCAGCCCACTTCTCAACAAGTCCTCCTCTCAGCGCCTCACGACTTGCTTCAGCAGAGCTCTATCCGTCCCAGTTCTCCTTTTGAGTTCACTCTAGGCTAACGCTTGCTGCAGGAGCAGGCCTGGCCCCAAGTGGCAAACACTACACATCACACTTAGCTAAGCATTACTTACATCAGCTGTCTGTGCCCTGACCTCCACCATCGATACGTTTGCGAGCATCTAGGTGTTGGGGGGGGGGGGGGGGGGGGGAGATGATGAGACGTGCAATGCAACACAGCAAGAGAGGGGGGTAGCAAAACGCGCAGAAGTTTAGACAAGCTGTCGGTGCTTTGAACTTCACCATCCATACACTCGCGAGCATTTACGGAGGGAGAGCAGAGCAATAGAGAGAGGGCAACAGCGGGGGCGAGGGAGAAAGGAAAAAAATAGAGCAACAAACGGAGCGTGGAAGGAGTAAGAAAGAGAGAAGGCGAAGGGAAAACGGCCGCACTGCTAAAAGACGGACACCTGAGACGCGTGAATGGCAAGAGGAACGCGAGGCAGCATGCATTCGACGAGACACCCACTCAGGGGGCTGCACCGGGGGCAGCAAGCGTGCCGACTGATTGCACACGCAAACGTCCAGCGTTGTGCTACATGCTGCATTCTGCTGCTGACAGGCGAACAGCTCAGGCCCCATGCAAGCACAGGGCGCACGGTGGGGTGCATACACCCTAGCACACGCGCGTACAGTAGGGTGCATGCTGCCAGCAGGGATACATACAGCGGGGTCCATGCAGAGGCAGCCAGAGACGAGGACGAAACCCCCCGACCGAACCATCTCTTCCTCTCTCCCAATGCTCCTGGTGAGGGGGGGGAGAAGGGGAGAGCGGGAAAAGAGCAGGAGTAACAAGGTGCCTTTTGAGTCGACTCAAAAGTCACCTCGTTACAATGTCACACAACACCTTCGCTTGAAGGGGGGAGCGGGAAAAGAGCAGGAGGAACACAGAGCATGTGCAGCTGACTGTGACGGCAGACGAAGTGAATCACCTCTTCTGGCGACAAAACACGACCGACCCATCAGCACAGCAGCATGCGCTAGTACCAAATAAGCCACTCACTAGTAGCTACTCACTCTGACGACGGCGGTGCAGCTTGCGCTTCCCCTCCTTCCCCTTCCCCGCCTTCCCCTTCCCCGCCTTCTCCTTCGCCTCCTCCCCCTTCTCCTCCGTCTCCTTCCTGCACGGCTGCTGCCGCGTACGACACCTCTTCAGGCGACGGCGAACGGGCGTAGTACCGCCGGCGGTCCTCCTCCTCCTCCTCCTCAGTCGGCATTCTGAGTCGGCGATCCTCACGGGAACCAGAGTCAGCAATTCCTACCCCACCGCCGTCACGCGGCGACGCACCGGCGCCCGCGCCTGTGTTAGGTGACCTCAAGAGGGAACGCCGGAGTCACGCGGCCGTGGCGACGAACCGCGACGGCGACGAGAAATCGCACGCGACGACGAGCACGGGGCCGTCGCAGAAGCGACCGAGACGCGGAAGCTGCGGCGACGACACGGCACGACACGACGAGACACGACGCGACCGGCGCGTCGGAAAGCAAGCGCAGGATGGACACCTAGCAGTCGAAACGAGAGGCACGCGGCGACCGGCGCATCGAGAGCAGCCACGTCGTTGCGACCAAGTGGCACGTCAGAGCAAGTGCCGCGGGATGGACACCGAGCAGTCGAAACGAGAGGCGTCGCGCGATCGGCGATCACGTCAGAAGGGATGCGATCATGCGGCGATCGACGAGGCATCGGACGACCGGCGGCGCGTCGGAAGCAAGCAACCGCACGATGGACACACGCGATGGGTACTATCCGCGCTGGGATTTGAGTGGTACTTGAATCCGGGAAGCTGAATTCGGCTGCTTTCGTCCGTTTCAGGAACCGTTACAAGAGAAAAGGACGAATTGGGCGGCCTGCTAATGTAGGAAAAAACTGCATTTTTTTGCCTTTCGATACTCTTCAGTGTAACGTTTCGAGCTCTGAGACGACTCACGTCGCTAGCCGCCATTCGCGTCGCGAGCTTTTGATCTAACACTCCATTGTTGCACAAAGGTAATCGATCGTATTCGGCTCGTTGCGTAGCGGCCCACCGCGAACCAAAAGCTAAGATTCCACTACCTCAAAAAAAATTCCTACTAGGTCCAGAGGCTAAGATCGGTGCTCTCGATTTCTGACGTTCTGTGAAAACTCCTGGTAAAAAACAGCTCGGTTTTTTTCTGCGAAACGAGAACTATTCAGAACTAATAAGTAGTACTATTCAGAACTACTAAGTAGTACTATTCAGAACTACTAAGTAGTACTATTCAGAACTACGAAGTAGTACTATTCAGAATGTCTACTAGCAGTTGAGGGAAAAAAAAATCTCGCTGCGGAAAAAGAGGACTCGTTTGCCTGACAAGTTGTCGCTGAACCGTACAAGCAAACGCCAATAGTGCTTCGGCACGAAAGAGAAGTGCTAGTCACACGCAAGTGCACGGCTTTCATAGGAAATACGTGATCTAAGTTGAGTGTCCCACAGTGCTGAGATGCAACCTGCTAGAGCTACAACAACAGAAAGAAATGGAGAGGGAGGAGTGATGGCTACTACAACTACAACCCAGCCACAACCCTAGCTTCCCTTGCCGCACTGCGGCTGTCCCTTCCTGCTTTCTGCTGGGCTTTGCTGAGTCTGAGGAAGAATGTCATCTGCCGCTTGTCAGGGAGAATTCCTTCGTGATATTCCGATTCATCTCCAAGCATTATTGGAATTGAGTTAGCTGAGGCCTGATGATAATGTGGAGCTTAGAGCGTACCAGAAACGTTCCATACATGCGTGACCAGCTTGTGTTCCTCCAAGAAAGTCTTGACCGCAGAAACTTGGGTTTGGTGTGACTGTGTGAAGGGGGCTTCCTTGTGGGCATGATTGTGACGAGAATCTCACCCTGCCCCTGTGTCTTGAACTGGTTCCTTCTCTGCCGTCAGATTCAAGATTGCCGTAGCCAGATCGGCGGTGCTTGTGGTTCTCGAATATCCCTCGACGATCCTTGGCGCACATGGAGGGTGCGTCTGACCTTCAACGAAAATGTTCGTGCGATTGTCCAGTCTGTACAATTCGCAGAGATGATTGGATGGAAATGGAAACCCAGAAAAACACGTGTGCACATGAAGTCCTTTTCAAGCCCAGTTGTTTTCGGAGCGGGTAATCCAGAATCGAGCTCAGAACTTTCACGGGCGAAATGGGCCAAGGTAGGCTTGTCTGGTTACCTAATTGGCATTTTTCAGTCTAAAGTGGGTGACCATTGTTGTTTCTTTTGCGTTCTTCGGGCAACGTCTGTACGTTTGGAGGTCTCAGTATCAGATGTGTGTAACTGATGGAGATCATTGGGCCTCTGTGGGTTGGGCCGTTACCCGTAAATTTCGAGCCAATGGGCATGTAAATGGGCGATTGGCGTCTAATGAATAGGCGGTTCACTGGACTAAAGACGTACCAGAAAGTTTCTGCCCGAAAGCACGTGCTGCCCCGACGTGCATCATGCAATTCAGCAGCTACGATCCTATTGTACACATGGTGCCCGCCGGAGGCCTAGCTCAATACGTGGCCCAATCAGGTACCATCGCCCATTAGCGTTCTCACACGGGCAACGGCCCACTCAACGTGGGCCGTGAACAGAGCCAGCAGTGCAGCGTCATCATGACAGCGGTGACAAACATGCGGCACAAGACGAAAGATGTGCGCCGCAACCGTTTTCGCCACAAACTTCCAGCCGCGCTCGGAATAGCGCTCCGGCGAAGGTCAGCGAGCCTTTCGTTGAGCTCGCAAAATTACACACGCCTCGCTGGGTTTGTTTGTGGCTTGAGCGTCGCCGCATGAAACCGAACGCTGACTTGGCAGCGAAATGGAGTCACGATGTCCCGATGCCAGGGATCGTTCTCAACATCCGACAGCCAACCCAGGAACAGACTCGAAAACAAATTCCCACAATCCACGCAGTAGTTATTGTTGCGACACGAACCTTCAGTTCGTAATGTAAGAAATATTTAGAACACGCCCGTAATATTTGGAGCTGAAATGCGACTCCAACACCTCACCCCATTACTCTGAGTATAAAAGGGAGCAAACCAAACCAGAAAAAATCACTCAACATCTCACCCGCCAACCACCACTCTGGTGCTACACCAGAGAAACTCACTCTCGCTTGAAAGCGCCGAAACTTAACATAGGGTAACTAAGTGAACAATGGCTCGCCAAAATATGCCACTCAAACCTACCCCGCAAAACATCAAAATGGTAACCTTCGTGCCCGTGCGAAAGGCCCACATGCCCGTGACGATGCCGTGCGAAACCCGTGCGCGTTTTTGTCTACCGGCACCCTGAAAAGTTGTGTTCCTCTGTCAGGCTCAAGGTGTACAGGCCCGAGAATCATCATCGTACGAGCCAGGTGCTGCCAGGTTGCCATGTGCTTGGGGAAGTGATGAATGAAAGCAGGAAGCACGTGCCAATCGCTGTAGCGAAACCTACGGCCGTTGTATGCTGCGAACCCCGATTTCTTTTATCGGGTGAGATTCGTAACGGGGGGCAATTGATGTGTTTCTTTTCTGCCAAATAACACCATTGAACATATATTTACGTACAGTGGTGCACACTTCCAGCCATGTACCAAGGACACAAAACCTCATTTGCGCATAAATGCATGACTTCCATCCCGGCATCGAACTTATCAGCACCGTGCCTCCTAAAACCCATTTTCAGGGTCTTCGTAGGTCTACGTGCACATATGTACACTGAGGGAAAAAACCGTCCGGATGTTTGGCAATAAGTTGGGTTTTTAGGCATTGAGACTACTGTATGGTAAACCTGCAAGATGCACGGTGGTACATGTTGGGAGAGGCACAAAGTGGATGCGTTCACTGCACTAAGAACTAGAATAGTACATTGGATCTAACTCATACTCCAAAAGATATACAACGAGTACATCCGGACAGTTTTTTCCCAGGACAAAGAGCAAACTTCCGAACAACGTTTCTAGTACCTAGTCCACCTACTCTTGGCGTTGATCACCATCCACACCCTCCTAGGCATGTTATCTATGTGGTTAGTGCAGACCTTTGCATGAAGCTTCTTGCACTCTTCCTTGACCCACCATTTTGCATAAGGGGGTGAGCACAAGGAAAATTGCGAAGTATTTGAGCGTATGCATAAGTATTGTGCACGAATTCAGATTGAATGTAATCTCTGAGACTAGCCAAGCCGAGGGGTGTCCAAAGATGCCATTACTTGAATGGTCCCGGCTTATCATGAGTTGTTTTCGTCGAATCAGAGTAGGGTGAAATCACGAATAGAGTGGCAAAATCTAGCATACCCGCCACGAAACTTAGGGTAACAGAGCACGGTCGATTGAGCATCCTTTCATTGTTAGAATCATGTTAAAATCCGCGAGTCTAGTGACAGTGCATCAGTTGAAGAAGTCTCGACTGTTTGGGAAGAATATCAGGGTTGAGGTCTGGTGAGGAAGAGGGGCACTCCAGAGCTACATATCCATGCTCTCCGAGCCATTCCAAGCCTAGGCAGGGAAAATGACATGGAATGCCTTGGAGAGCATAAGTATGTTGCGCTGGAGTGACCCTTTTTCTCACCAGACCTCAATCCAGATATTCTTCCCAAACAGTCGAGGTTTCTTCGACTGCTGCCCCGTCACTAGACCCGCGGATTTTAACATGGTTCACACAGTGAAAGGATGTTCAGTCGACCGTGCTCTGTTACCCTAAGATTCGTGGCGGGAATGCTAGATTTTGCCACTCTATTCGTGATTTTACCCTAGAACGATACAACGAAGACGACCCATGATAAGCCGGGACCATTTAACTAATGGCATCTTTGGCCACCCCTCGGCTTGGCTAGTCTCTGAGATAACATTCATTCAGAATTTGTGTACAATACTTATGCATACGCTCAAATACTTTGCAATTTTCCTTGTGCTCACCCCCTTATGCAAAATGGTGGGTCAAGCGAGTGTGCACCACAATCGAGCGGTCTAGAACTTCAGCAAGCAAGCGCACTACTTTGTCGACAATGACAAGATCGGGGAAAGTCGTTGCAGCAGAAAGAGGAGGGATTAGTGTACGGGTTTTGTAATCAATGTCGATGACAAGGACTTGACACAACACTCACCTGTGGGTGAGGCAATGGCATGGCACAAGGTGAGGTATGCGTGCCCGCAGACGTGCAACTACACCCGTCTGCCCACCGGACATCACGCTAGCGCCGTCAGTACTTATCCCGCATATTCATCAACAGCATCAAGGGGCGGCTGGAGGATCTCGCGACCTTAGACGGATCCAAACTCTTCAGGCAAAGAGCGTACACGAAGAGCGCGGCAAAGCGGGAGCGGCGCCTGCTGCAATGGTTGCCTGCTCTACAAGCGTGATGCGGCAGCACCGGACACTCTGCCAGGTTCTTGTTTCCCACCGCTAGCTCTACTTGCCCTTGTCTTTCAAACCGCACCGTACTTGCTATACCAAATGTGAACTCGTTGGCTTTGTCTCATTATAACCGTTTCATATGTCTGCCGTCATTGCAACACCCATCAGGAATAAACCTGGCGAAGGTGGAGAAGGAGTTAAGCAACTTTAGCACGATCATGCGCACACATCAGGCTGACACGGGCTTCCTTGATGGCCCGAAGAATATGTTGGGCTCCTTGGACTGGCAAACTAGTACCCCAACCTGGTTCTGCTCTAGATTACTGTTGTTGTGCTCCCTCTCAGCACTGTGCAGTGCGAGAGGGGCTTCAGCAGGCAGAATGTGATCAAGTCTTGGCTCCTGGGGAATCTCTGCGATGCAAAGCTGGCAGATCTGATGGCAATATCCCTTTTGGAGTACGAGATGCAATGGGATGAGCTCATGGCAAGGCAAAGAAGTGGCGCCCTGTGAGGGCGGTGGTAATGGCTGAAGTCCCGTCCACCAAAAAGCGACCAAGGTTTGAAGCAGTCAGGGCGGAAAAGACAGCAGCAGCAGCAGTAGAAGTAATAGCAAGCCATCAAGCAGCAGTTTCGGAAGCTGAAGTTGCAAGAGCGGAGGAGGAACCTGGCATGGCGTACTGGAGGAGGAAGAGGAAAGGCAAGATCCCGGTAGTCGAAGAAGAGGAGAGTGAGGAGGAAGATAACCCTTTTGCCTTTGAATCCGAATCTGAACATGACTTTGAGTAGTGCGGAGGAGCAGACGTAGAAGCAACAGCAGCAGCATCTGCAGAAGTGCCAGCAGCTACATTGGCACCAGCAGCAACATTGGCAGCAGCAGTACCAGCAGCAACAGTCCTGCTGCAGGTGGCGGCACTAGCAGAGCAGTACTAGTAGCGGCACTAGCAGAGGAGTACTTGCAGCAACAATAGCTCTAGAAGCACTAGCATTTGCAGTAGCCGGTCCTATGGCATCACTAGCTCTTTTAGCCTTAGTGGGAGGTCCTTTGGCAGCACTGTCTTTAGCTGGAGTAGCAGTAGCAGTACATTAATATTTGTTCTAGCTGTTTTGTTCTAGCAGCAGTAGATTGCTAACTGGCCTTTAATTGAAATTGCTTTAAGATATGGCACCATCTGTTCATCAG